CTTTAGGTGTTCTTCTGAATGGAAATGCAAAACAAAATGGCAACACCAGCAACAGGTCTTGTATGCGTTTATGTAAAACTCTAAATTTGATGTGTTAATTGGAAAAAAAGATATTTCAAATTCCATGGCTGGGTTTAAAAACAAAAAAAGTTTATCTACATTTTCATTGTTGTCTTATGTTTAGATCGAGCAGGGACACTTCTCCATCCAGTGACTCAGATGAGTGGGTCATTGTTCCCAGTGGTCTTGCTGTTAGCAGTRCAGGTTCTACCTCGCTGTCTCCGGGGGCCTCCAACCCATCACGCCCTCCTAGACCTGCCAGACCTCCGCCTTCTATGCCCCACACACTTGCATCCTCACCAAGTAAAGATAGCTGAACATATGCGCAGCACACACAACTGTATTCTTCTTGCACAAACAAAATGCTACTCATCTGTCTGAGCATACTGATCAAAGTGAAGTTTACAGATTTGTTCAGACTAGTTCACTCTTCMACCTTGCCTCTCGTTGCCCTGTCTGTTGACAGCTTCTTCCAGTAGTTCTTCCCCCAGTGAGCTGAGTGAAGCGCCAGCCTCCGACGGCTCCTCTCAGGCATCAGCAAGCGGATGTCCAGAACAACTGGATGAATCAGGTGCACAAGCAGCAGCAGCAGCAGCTTCCTCTCACACGCCAAGTGCTCCCAAACCAGGTGGYGCTATAACAGCGGCTCCCAGAATCGCTCCGGTTAACACTGGCCCCTTGCCACCAGGGTAAAGAGCAATTGATTATTTTTAATTACCATAATATTTAATCTGGATTTATTGAGTTGAACTTGAATAAATTACATTAAATATGTAATTAAACTTGTTCTTTTTATGCCATGACCTAAGGTGATTTGGGTAAATTGACTTTAGTTATCATAATTGAATTTTGTGATGCGTTTAGCCCTGTAAACCTGATCCTATAAATAGGATCGTATTAGAAGTTAGGTCTTTTATGTTTTCGAAAATCATTGCTTCCTGCTGATTAAAAGCCATCACAATCCGTTTGATATTTCTTTGTTTTGCCTTTATAGATGGGAGCAAAGAGTGGACCAGAATGGACGGGTGTATTTTGTGGACCACATTGAGAAAAGGACAACATGGGACAGGCCTGAGCCTCTGCCTACAGGGTATCAAAAAGTTGTTTTTATAATTTAGATATCAAATATCAACAGACTTTTTTTATTTGTCACTGTTGGATTTTACACATTTGCTGAAAAATTATATTAGCAAGAAGCAGTTAGTGTTCGTAGTATATATATATATATATACAGACATACATTATTTTCCAATTGTTTAATTGCAAACAGTTAGCAGTTTTGAGATGTTTGTTCAATAAACACTTGCAGAATATTCATCCATTTGGCTCCATCATCTTTTCATTTATTTTTTTTTCTTGCAGGTGGGAGCGAAGAGTGGACCCAATGGGTAGGGTCTATTATGTTGAYCACATAACACGAACTACAACGTGGCAACGACCCACGCAGGAGTCCGTTCGTAACTATGAAGAATGGCAGCATCAGCGCAGCCAGCTCCAGGGAGCGATGCAGCAGTTTAACCAGAGGTTCATCTACGGGGTAAGAGTAGTAAATTACTTAAAAGCTATGGTTAGTTGTTTTTTTTCTGATAATAAGACTAGATAAGATACTGCAACATTAACTACTGTATAACACACTAGTACCAAGATGAACAGATTTAGAAATAATAAGACCAGATAAGAAACCACAGATAAATYTTTTTATTAAAGGGGCAGTATCATGTAAAATCAACTCTTTTGCGCTTTCTATCATGTTATAATGTTATCTTCTCATCAAAAACATACCCAGAGTCTTTCTTTGACTCATTCATGCATGTTTGAGAAATCCTGCAGTGTCCTGAGGCAGCCAGGCAGGGGAGCAAAAACAACTGGTTGGGTCTAGAACCGCCTTTTGGGACCAGCTCCACCTGTGGGCTGTRTCTCCAAACCGAGCTTCCTCATCACAGAGCACACACACACACACCCGTCCCTGTGCTGAAATGGGTGGGACAGAAGCGGAAGGTGGTTCTTAAAGAGACAGAGGCCAATTTCAAGGTGTTTAGAAGCAGATATGATGAGAAGTCAAGTTTATTTTCTATTTAAACATATAAACAGCATTTTAATAACAACTGAAGGTGACATAGTTACTTTATTATAGTATAGAATTTAAATATATGCCTGAGAAACACATAATTTTGCCCCTTTAATAAAAATATATTGTTTGTCCTGTATTATCTTCTGTTCAGCTCCAGGATCATTTTGCAGCTTCAGCTACTAAAGAGTTTGACCCACTGGGCCCTCTACCGCATGGCTGGGGTAAATATAATTAATTATACAAGCGTTCCCATCTTTTATTAAAGATGCATTATGATAGTAGTAAAAGTGCATTATAATTGATTGACACTGATATACATAAAATGTCTTCTGTTTTACCATAGAAAAGAGAACAGACACCAATGGCCGAGTATATTTTGTTCATCACCCAACTCGAACGACACAGTGGGAGGACCCGAGGACACAAGGGTGAGTACATTCCTTTCTGTGTGTTTCATAAATCTAGCATCTTCTGCCAGCCTTACCTGACACACCTGCAGATTTCATTTGTTGTCTTTGAATAGCATTAATTGYCAGCATTTTGTTTAGTTTCATGTAAAAAAAAAAAAAAAAACTCAGATGACTAAAGG